TTGCATGAATCACTCTGTTCACTAAATGGAGCAGGTACAGGGAGAGGACCTTTAAAATGATCTATGACCAGTATCACTTTAATTACTTTCAGGAAGGGAAGCAGGGCTCGGGAAGGAGGCTGGGGGTAGGGGTGGAAAGAATAGGCCAACATGTTATTGTTGATAGAAACACTGCCTCATTTCATACTGTTTTCAGGCTAAGATTGTGACTAGGTGACGTTTGTCCCTATGAGGAGCTGATTTAAGTGTGCGTGTTTTGGTTTAGCCCTTTTCTCCCCGCCCAGGCCATCTCCCTCTCATTATGTCTCTCTGACTCCTTTTGTCACTCATATCACTTTTAAATTTATTTTCACTGCTCTTTATTTTTGTTTTCTTTCGGGGTAGGGGTAATTAGGTTTACTTGTTTATTTTTAATGGAAGTACTGGGGATTGAACCCGGGGCCTCGTTCATGTTAAGCGGGTGCTTTACCACTGAGCTATTACCCACCCCTCCTCATCAGACTTTTTACTGTTCCTCTTTAACCTTCCTCCTATGCTGAGCTGCTCCCAAGCCCCATTGTTTTATTCCACTTTCCTCTGCAACTGCCTTGCTTTTGTGTTTGCTGTGTTGTATTGTATCTGCCCTTGAAATTATTCTACTTGCTTCTTTTTTGATTCCTATTTTTCTTTCTCCTATCTCCTTTCCTCTCAGCCTTTGTCTCTTATATTTTTAAATCTTTTAAATGTGGTTTTAAAAAATTATCGAACGATATAACATAAAATTCACTATTTTAGCCATCTTTAAATGTACAGTTCTGTGGCATTAAGTACATCTGCCTTCTGCAGCCTTCACCGTCTCAGTCTCTTTTCATGAAGTTGTTTATTTCTCTGTTTAACTGGGGGAAAAAGGGCAGAAACATCAATTGCTGTTAGAAATAATTCTTGGGACATGATCTTAGAGCGATCATCATCGTTAAAGCTGTTTTTCCTCAATGATGTTGCCCCAGACAGAGAACGGGCTCCGAGACAACGACATCAAGCCGCGGGTCAGCGAGTGGGAAGTGATCCAGGAGACAGGGTCGAAGCTGAAGCCCATGTACGGCCCCGGCTACACGGGGCTCAAGAACCTGGGCAACAGCTGCTATCTGAGCTCCGTGATGCAGGCCATCTTCAGCATCCCGGAGTTCCAGAGAGCGTAAGTGTCCCCCGCAGAGCGGGCGCACAGCCTGCCTGGCGCCCCGCCCCGCCGCGTGCAGCCGGGCCAGTGCGCGGGGAAGCCCTTCTTCTTTGGCGGCAGGACACTTCGCCGCACCGCCTGCGCTGTGACTTCCTGCCCTGCGCTGGGTGACAACCCTTGCCGAGGGCTATGGGAATCAGCTGAGCTAGGGAGAACTTTGTAAACGGAAAAACATCAACAGGGCATTTGTCATATTAATAGTGGCTTCCAGTTTTAGAACATCACCCTGTATGCCAAGAATATAATAATCATTAATCTTCACAGCAAACCTGCCAAATCTCTTCTATAGACGCGCTAGGAGAGAGTCAGTGATCTGTTGGGTCAGTGTCGCCTTCCTGGTGAGTGGAGTTTCTTAAAGGATTTAGGCTTTTCAATTTTTTGCTTATCAAAATGTGGTTCCCAGATGGCGCTGAGCCTTTGACTACTGGATATGGATCTGTACGTAGTGAGACCAGTATGGAGATTGGGAGTGAGCATTCAGAAGTTGTAGCAATTTGACATTGCTCCGTTTTATAAATGGCATTTCGCTTTTCCAGTATAGTTGAGCCTTGAACAACACAGGTTTAAACTACACTGGTTCACTTATACTTGGATTTTTTCAATGAATATGTGCTACAGTACTACATGATCTGCGGTTGGTTGAAACCTCAGGTATGGAGGAACCCCGAAGCCAAAGGGCCGACTGTAAAGTTAGGCGTGGAACTTCGACTGTGCGGAGGGTTAGTGCCCCTAAATCCCGTGTTGTTCAAAGCTCAGCTGTAATTCATTTTTTATTGTATTTTAGAAGGTGTCATTTATATGAGTTGAAATCAACAAACGAGTTGGCCCTTCACCACAAGCTATTGGGAAGCACTGATTTAGGGCGCTTGCTAACTATGCGCATTTAGTTGCCTTCTTCCTCCTCCCTTCCTCTGGGCGGAGTGGCTGCCTCTGGCCGTTTTCTAATGTAGGCTGTGCTTGGGACAGGGAGCCGCAGATACTGGCAGCTGCAGCTCATGGGCAGCTGCTGCCTAAGTTTAGGAAATAATCTCTAATGTTTTCCAGAGCAGGTAGGTTTCCATCTTGGTTCAAGTATGGAAGAGGACACATGCGTGCTCAGACAGACTGACTGGCAGACAGCACGCTAGGAACAACACAGGGCAATTTTTCACCCACGTGGAGTTGACCACTGATGGCTTTAAGGGTGATTATATATCATGTATATCAAATATCCTTTTCTTTCCTCTCTTGGTATTTGAAGTCTTACCTCTTTTTTTTTTTTAATTGTTCCTGGCTTTGGAAATCTATGGTCAGTTTTCCACGTCAGATTTTCATTTTTCCATCTGGCCAAAAACAGTGGGTTCTGTTCTGCTCAGCACTGTGCTGGGTGTTGGGGGTTCAGTGGTACACAAAAGATAGGTGCCTGGCCCTCCCTGGGGAAACAGACATTGAATAAACATAGATAGCCTATTATTTGTGGTGATTCGATTTAAGATTTTTTGACTTTATGATGGTGCAAGAGCAGTATGTGTTCAGTAGAAACTGTATTTTGAATTTTTGAGTTTTGCTCTTCTCCTGGGCTAGTGACTTGAGGTACATACTCCCCTGTGATGCCGGGCAGCTCCCGGTCTGCCACTAGATCCCAAGAGTAACTATTTTGGACCCAGACAGCCCTTCTGTTCTGCACTTTCAGTACCATAGTCAGTAAATTAAATAAGATAGTCAACACTTTGTTATCAAACAGGCTTTGTGTTAAATGATTTAGCCTAACTCTGCGCTAATGCCAGTGGTCTGAGCACGTTTCAGGTAGGTGACACTAAGCTGTGGTGTTTGATATGTTAGGTGTATGCAGTGCATTTTCTTTCCTTTTTTTTATAATATGTAAGGTTTTTTTTAAATGGGGTTGTTTTTTCTTTTCTTTTTTTTAAGGTTTATTTATTTAATTTTATATTTTGAGGGGGACAATTAGGCTTATTTACTTATTTTATTTTTAGAGGAGATACTAGAGATTGAACCCAGGATCTACCACTTGAGCTGTCCACTCCCCCCTGCAATACATTTTCAGTGTAAGATATTTTCAACTTACAATGGGTTTGTCAGGACGTAACCCCATCCTTTGTCAAGGAAGATCTGTAATCCTAAGAAAAACTGCATGGTTGTAAACATGGTGAGTTCCATGAAGGAGAAGGGAAGGAGGTGGTCAGGGAGGATCTCTTTGAAGAAAGGACGCACGAAGGGACACTGACCTTGAATGATGTGCAGGAGGAGTGGAAACAGGGTTTTGGACAAAAGGAGGAGCTAGTTTGAAGCTCTGAAATGGGAAAACCTTTTCGAAGTTTTGCATCATGCATTGTATTATTTTTATGAATTCTGACCCATGTGTCTTACTTGTATTACGATTTGATTGGGGAACAATGTAGCTTCATCTTCTCTTTCTCATGCTCCAAGATTTTTTTTTTTAATATTGAAGAAAAGCTCTTATGGCCTTATGGTAGGTGTTATATGATTATTATTTCTTTCAAACTATAATGGAAGAGACTTACGTTCTTTTGTTACAAAGCCCAGCAGCGTTTTTAGTGCTTTACAGTCTATAGTTTTTGAAAATATTTTCTACGTTTCAAAGATTGATGAACAATTAACTTTCTGAAGTTTTTCTTCAATGAAAAAATGTACCTCATGTCTGTATTTTGGATTTAAGATTTGAATCTCTTGCCTCAAGTCTCGTTTCAAGAGTTTTAGAATTTTATGTCATCTAATATTTTATATTCCATTTCCTAAACATTTACTGTATAAGAAAATGAGCAACTTATCCATACCTTGATCTTTTTGTTCTTTTCCCAAGTCTTACTGGGTTGAAATACTTGCTCTGCAAACTCCTTTTTCCCCAGTGGGACTAACTCAGTGGAGTTTCGTCTAGGAGCAATATTTCCATTTTGCAAGTAGAAAGAGTGACTCCCAGAGAAATTAAATGACTTCTGCACAACCACAGTGGAATTCAGGAACATTAGTCTGACTCCTTGATACCCTGTTTGCTGCTTGAACCCAGTTTACATTTCAAAATAATTCTGATGGGGAGCAAATCTAAATAAACTGGTGTGCAAATTGAATGACAGCTCGGGTTGTCAGACAGCAAAACTGTTTTTTTTTGCTTTGAAAACCACTAGATTACAAATTGAAGATATAATAAGTTCTTTAAAAATTATCCCACATTACTGCTGCATATTAATTTAATTTTGTTTTAATGGAGGACAGTCCTTGTTGATTAGAAAAGGAATATAAATTACTAGCAAAATGGACTTTTCTGATACCGATGGTTTACCCCCTTTAACTTTATTCTTCTCCAGCAATCTTGCCTGAAAACTTAAACTTTTCACTAATCTTCATCTTCTCAGTAGGTTTTCTTTTGTCTTGTCAGGTTTTGAGATATGAGAAAGACTGGATTGTATGAGAGCTAAGGTTTATAACATTTATCATGTTGTATGTTATTAACAGCTCTTCAGTGCAATCTCTGACTCTGAATACGGTTTGGTTCCAAAGTTTGGTTTGTCTATTATTTGGCTCTTGGTCCACTGAAAATTTCTAGATGGAATTGTTGCCTAGTGACACATCCAAAAGCTGTTTGAATGGGACTGTTCCAGAGACATGTGCTGTTAGTTTCGATGTTGGTCCATAACCTCAGATACAAATTCTGAGTTTGTAGACAGCGGTCTGAGAAATTTCTAGTAGTTGAGGGATCTAATTAGAGGTCATTACTAACTATAGTGTATCATGGCTCTCTGCTAAGGCTTTATTGAAATAATTCCTTTCCTTTTGGGTTAAAGGTAGTCAATTACAGAAATTGGTTATGTAGTTCATGGAGATTATATTCTAGTATGTAATCCCTAGAGAGATAAATAATAAACAAGAACATAAATAAATTAATATAATTGCAAATAGTGATGCATGCCAAGAAGAAAGTTAGCCAGGGTGGGCTGATAGGGGATTTTAGGAAGGTTGGGGAGGGACTTTTAATCAGAACTGAAAAAGAACAGGGATGGGTAGAGAGAGTTCCAGGAAGGAGACAGTGTATGCCTGACCTTGAAGCAGGAGCGAGCTTGGCGTGCCCTGGGAAGCAAGAATAGGAAGTGGCCGGGGCGTTGTGTGCGAGGGGGAGTGAGGTCAGAGAAGCAGGCAGAGCAAGTGCAGGAAGGGCCAGGGAAAGGGATCTGCTTCTGGATCCTTCTTCCTAGAACCTTCAGGCTCAGAGGGTCAAAGCCTCAAGAGGGAAAGGTGAACAGCTCCAAGCAGGGGGTGTGAAACAGGAGAAGAACGTAAGAAGTGAAGGGAATGATTGTGCACTGAGATGAGAGGCCGGTGGTTACAGTTAGCACTGCTCAGTCGAGATAGACTGGTCAGAAAGGGGTTGTGGACTGCAGGAGACTGTGGCCGTGGCAGGTCCAGCTGGCAGAGTGGTTCAAAGCACCACATGGGAGCCAGGCTGCCTGGGTCCTCTCTGGGCTTCATCACTCTCTCCTGGATGACTTTGGAATCTCACTGAAGAATTTGCCTCCCAATTTCTTATCTCTCAAACGGGGTAGCGATAATAATCCCCTCCTCGTATAGTTGTAATGAAGACTTAATCAGGTAACAGAGGAAACCCTCCAGAAACAGTAGTTGTCACTGTTACTGTCATCATTATTCATTTTGACATGATTGAGATAATTCCTAACTTTACTTTTTATTTTCGAGATGGTAGTTGTGATGGCATAAGCCAGTGGTCCGTGACTCTGGCTGTATGTTAGAATCACCTGGGCAACTTGTAAAAGATTCCGAATCCCAGGGAGTGAAATCAGAACCCCTGGGCAGTGGCTCTGGCTTCTGCATTTTTTCAAGAAATCCTTTAGGGAATTCTAACTCGCACCCAGGGTTGAGACCCACTCAGAGAAGCACAGACATTTCAGCGGGGTCCAGGAACATGGCTGCAGGAAAAACTTCTCTTTGGGTAGATGATTTAATTTTGACAGGAAGGCAAGAAGGTCTTAGCCAGGATGACGGCTTATTTTGGTTCTGTTTTTCCCTCCGTTCCTCTGTTTTGACTGTTGCTTCTCATTTTCTAGGTATGTGGGAAATCTTCCAAGAATATTTGACTACTCTCCTTTAGATCCAACACAAGATTTTAACACACAGATGTAAGTAACCAATTGTAGCTTTTAAGAAAAGTATCTGATAAAGTGTTTATAGTAGTCTCTGGGTTGCAGACTTAAAGGCAGTTCTTTATTTTCTGTATTTTTAAGAGTGTTCTAAAATGAGCATGTGTTGCTTTTATAAGAGTTAGAAAATTTATAAGTTAAATTTTATATATTATATATATAATTAGTAAAATTATGAAGTGCTGAGAAAATTTAACATTTCAATCAGTATCAAGCAGAATCAAAAGAGTTATTTGCGAGTAACTGAGACACAGTGTTCAGCTGTAGTTGTTGGAATTTGTGGATAATTTTAATATCTCTGAGAGGAAACAACAATGACCTTTTTGTCTGTTTCTCCCTCCTGGCCAGGACTAAGTTAGGACATGGCCTTCTCTCGGGCCAGTATTCAAAACCTCCCGTGAAATCTGAACTCATTGAACAGGTGATGAAGGAGGAGCATAAGGTATGTGTCCATGTGTTTGCCATGTTGCTATGTAGGAAGGAGGGACCTTCCCAGCCAGAGGGTGGATTTCCTGTGATTTGGGGAATGGTGGCTGTAAATGTAGCAAGCTGTTAAAATAGCTGTTTCATTTTAGGGTCCACGGTGTGTGTCTGCTCTTAAAAATCGTGGTGAGGAGTAGCCAGGGCTGGGGTTTCTAGTGGCAGTTGCTTCGTGGATTATATGTAATTGCCATCGTTAATGGTCTTCAGAAATAATATTCTGCATAAAATAGAGCTGAAGTAGAAGGAATAAACTTTATAAAAATATAAACATTTTCCCCTTGGTAACAGAATCTTGGCCTTCCTAGTGTCTTTCTTCTCCTAAGCCTCAATTTTGTTTGCTAGGGTTTCTCAGGAGGCTGGTTGTTAAAAAAACAACACGCACATTGCTATTCCCTGCAGAACTGAGGATTCTGAATGTCTGGGGAGGGCTGGGCAGTCCTCATTTTTGGTAAACGGCGGAGGGTTTGTAAGTGTAAGAAACTTAGTTGGCCATTCAGTCACTATTCATTGATTAATTGAAAGATGTGCTACATCTCCTAATGTAGCCAGACTTGCATTTCCGTGTGCCTGCAGGATGGGCCCCTGACCCCTCCCTGGGCTGCTCTGTTACACATCTCCAGAGGGCGCCCCTTGCCACCTGGCCTTTTTGAGTGGTGCTCTTGGAATTCTGCAGTGCGTAGCTTAGGCAGCTGTATCTGGCAGTCTTGGCTTCCACTGTTGCAGATGTCCTGGCTGGAATGCATATCCCACTTCCCCAGCACCTCCTCTGCCTTCACAGTACCCTGTCTTAACTTAGTGGGCAAGTTCTTTCAATTGTTTGTCAAGTGTGTGACCTGTGGGCTCCTATCTTCAGTCAGTTGTCCTTGATGGATGCCTGCAGACTGAGAGCAAGAATCAAAAGTGAATAAGTACATCTTCATAATGAAGCCAATTAGTTGGGGAAATGGAACAAACAGGAGAAGGGAGATTAGGAAGGGAACATATAGAGGCAGTGTCTGGGGTGGGGAGAAGGAAGTTGGTTGTGAGGAGGGTAGAGAGGGTTAGACATTTGGAGTGGCCAGGCCTGGAGATCAGAGTGTTGTGAGGCAGGAAGACTTCAGTTCTTCAGTTGCATTGTTATCTGGCATTGCAAGATCATGAGTTCCTTGTCCGCCTGAGACTGGAAGACCCTCAGTTGGGATGGTTTGGGTGTTAGAGCTGGGGTATGGGGTTATCCAGGCTGCTTTTACCTCTGAGTTCCTGTGAAACTTTGAAGAGGTGACGGTGAAAAAAACTTGGTCCAAAATTTTGTTTTTGATGGCATTTATCCTGGATTTTCATCCAGGCTATCACTCCTTGGACCACTCTTGGGGCAGAGTCCACCCTCCCTGCTGGAGGAGGAGGAGACTGGATTGGGACTCAGGATCCTGGCTTTTTCTCCTGCCCAGCAAGGATCTGTAGACTGTGTGCAAGTCCCGTAACTCTTCAGTTTCAGCCATCAAATGGCAGATTGGTCTCTCCAGGGGTTGTGAATATTGCAAGTGTGACGGTCCCCTCTCTAATGTAAACAAAATGTATCCGATATATGACTGCTGTGCGTTTGGAATCTCTTCATTTGAGAAAATGTGAAGTGAAAAGTCATCGGTTTAGTAGTGTTCGGAAGTAAAATTTGGTTTTGTTAATATCACAGTATCCTTTTACATTAGGAAAAAAATAACTTCCTATGTGAGCAAGGCATGTAATTTAGTCTGCGAAAGGCTGGGGACCCTTGTCCCCTCCTTGCCATGGACTTAGTGTGGTAGCTGTGTGATCTTCAGGGCTCTGAGGCTTGCAGGTGAGAACCCCTCCCTGTCTGGCTCTGGGTGTGTAACCTGGCAGCATTTGGGCCATTTGTCCTGCTGGTGTGTTTGCTTGACTCCCACACAAATCTGTGAATTTCCAGGTTCTTTTAAACACTCAGACCCTCTGGAAGTCCCAGGCCAAGGACAGCGGTTGGCTGGAGCTGAGTAATAGCCCTCCCTTCACGCAGGACACACAGTCCCCAGCTGGCTTCAGTCCCTTTGTGGTTCGTGACCTGGCTGGTACGCATGGTATTTGGGTGTGTGACCCTTGAGCTAGATGATTTGTAAAGTCCTTTCCCTAGTTGCTCTGAGGTGCCAGGATCAATAGGATCCTGGTAACATTCAAAATGAGCTTGAACTGACCACAGGATTTTCTTTGTGGCCCTGGAGGTGTCAATTTCAAGCTGTTACTGCAACAGACAAGTAATTCATTGTAACAATCTCCACTCCTCTTGACAGTGGAGGGAGTTACTTTCTGAGGCATCAGAATTTTCACCAGCAGTTGGTTTCAGAGAAACCGATTTGTGAGAATCTTATTCTTTCAGGTCTCAGGAGCCGTTTGGTCAGGTGATCTTGTCCCTAGCCTCTGGCGTTTTTATCTTGTAGATGAGCCTGAAATGCTCCAAGAGAGGAAGGAAGATGTGCTGAAGCAGAGAGGAGGATAGATTACGAGAGGAATGTGTGGTGGAGGGGAGAGAACACCGGAGAGCCATGTGGCAGGAACTCCTTTTTACACAGCCAGTGATACCAATAACTAGCATCACATAGATGGCCAGGCTTTTCCTGTATGGTCACTGATGCACAGAATCTTTGTCTACGTTACAAGGCTAGGGAGTAGGGGAGCGGGGGTTTACACCAGCAAGTCTGGCGCCTGAGTCTGCTTTTGACCACCGCACTGTCCTGCTTGCGTAACAGTGGCTCCCGTACTTGTTTCAGGCTCCCTGTGTCTCAGTGTGTGGATGCTGGTAAGTGGATGGCCAAAGGGGCTGCTTAAGGTTTGCAGAACTACCAGGTAGCCCAGTATCTTGGGCTACTTACGTGTTGGGTCACTTCTAGAATATATACTTCCTGATATTAAATTGCTCTGCTACAGACCAAGATGAAATCTAATTTTTATATACACATGCTTACTATATATTTCTTCTATAAAAAGGTTTGCAGTTATTTTCTTGGGCACTGCCATTTCTGTATAAGTTTGTTGAATTGATTTTTAAAATTAAATTGCATCTGTAGTAGATAAAGCTTCCTCACTATGAAGGGATACTTTTTCTTCTCCAAAAAATATATTCCTGATCTTTACGCACTCTAAGACAGCGCTTTCACGTTTTAATGCTGAATATGCCTTAATTTATTTTTCTTTCCAAAAATAGCTTTTTTTTAAACAATTCTGTATTCTGAACAGTTTCTTAAATGATAATTCATTTGATTTCCCATCTAGCTAATCCTTGACACATAATTACTGGTCTCGATTTTTGATTAACATGAAGTAATCAGTGATCTACTTCCAGGTGATGTAATTTTAGCTCCAAACATAAGAACTGTTTTCACTAACCTCTGTTTTCCTGTGTTGGACAGATGTGACATTTCTAAGTCACCTTTTGAAATATGAAATATATCCTGGGGAATATCCTCTATTCTTTTAGCCTAGGAGATTCTGGGTTTGAACCTGGGTTAGGAACTACTGGTTCAGGGTTTATGCTTTAAACGTTTCAATCACCAGATGGCAGACACCTGCTTACAGGGGCCGGGCTGAGCTACGTGTATCTTTTTCTCATTCCCTTGGTTTTCCAATGTAAATATCTGTACAAATGTTGTTCTACAGTGATACAAAGCCTCAGTCTTGCTGCTTGTTTGTTAATTAAAGCATTAGGCTCAGAGGAATGTGAGTGGACAGTGTCCAGCCGCTTTCTTGGTGCAGCATTAAACAAAGTCCTGTGTAAGCACTTGGGAAAGATTCTGAACACCGTAGTCTAGCCCTCTCTCTAATTTTAGCTGATCTGTTTTGCAATTGCTGATGGAGAAAGTAAGTACAGTAGCCTATAAATATGACAGGGTCCTTAGGTGGTTGCTGTTTTGGAGACTACCTGGCGCTCCCTCTTACAAAGTTAGTGTTGGGACCGGCCATCGCTTCTGGTGCCCGAGGGCCAGCTCACCCTGAGAGCGTGAGCTTCCTGAAGGCAGGTCTGACCCTTGGTCAGTTTTGGTCTCTCTCTCTCACCCTGTTTGGGGATAGGCCCATAGCGGATATTACAGGTGATGTCACTGGCCCTGGGCCAACCAGAAAACGTGGTATTTCTTTGATTTAGGTCTTCGGTACTTGTTTTGGCTTTTTGGTTTCTTTTAAGTAACTGCCTTATTCCAGAGCCAGGCCTTTTAAAAAATTATTTAAATTTGTAAACATACACAGACAGAGAGAGCAAAGTATAATGACTCCCCCCTGTATCATCGTGTAGCTGCAGCGTCACCAGTCTGTCCGTCTGGGGTCTTTATTCCCCCTGAACTCAGTCTTTTCCTACCCGCCCCCCATCCTCTCCTTTCCTTGCAGTATTTTAACACAAAACCCAACATCCTCCTCTTCACCTGTAGATACTCAGTATGCACCTATAACTAGACTGCTTTTTTTTAAACATTGGTATCATGTTAAAAGTTGTTTAACGTGTTAGAAGCACAGCAAAAAAATGTATCAGCCAACGCCCAGCCTGTATCTAGGTTTTCCCTGCAGCATCAAAGACGTCTTTTTCAAGTTCCCCTCTTTTTGCAGGTGATTGATATGTTGAAGGAGCTGGATCATTTGCCCCAGGATTGCTTTAAGGATTGCTCCCTTGAGATGTGGTTTAGCTTTTGTTTCTTATAAGCTGGAAGTTAGGTCTGGAAGCGTCACTGGGTTCATGCTCAATTTTTTGACAGCCTGACTTTCATGTATATTAGACATGAGGGGACCACAGTAATAGCTGATCCTGGGCATGAGTGAGGCCTCCCCTCAGAAATCAGAGCTAGAATCGGTGTGGGGCGTAGGTGCAGGCGGAGGGGCCAGCTGATGCTCAGGCACTGAGTGTGGGGTAGCCGAGTTTGAGATCAAATCAAACCCAGCTGCAAAAGCCGGGAGCCGGTCTGCAGCAGGACGTGGAGAGGGAGAGGCAGTGTCTCTCTGTTGAGGAAGTTTTTCAAATAACTTCTTGATGATCGTCAATTCTCAAGCTATGACTTGCCTGTTGAACGAAGGATTAAGCAAGGTCAGTTGACGGGAAACAAAGAAATGAAATGGGCACCGAGAGACGAGGCATGGGAGGGGGATGAGTGAGGCTGGGCCACCGTCCAAGTGCAGGGCCGAATCTCTGGAGTTTTCACCGTAGTCTTCATTGAAACGTCTCCTCCCAGTTGTATGACCACATGGTGGCACGGAGCAGCAGCCAGCTTTTCAGAATTTACTAACTTTCAACAAGTTAGTAAACTTTCATCAAAGCAGCTGCTTTGATGGGACTGGCAGCCACCTCAAGCTCCAAGACGGCTTGTAGGGAGTAACGCCGCCTGCAGCGGGCAGTGAGTGTGCGCTGATGTGAATGCCTCAACCGAAATGCACAGTGCAAGCAGGTTTATTCTACGTGGGCCTCCATGCTGCCGAGAGTGGAGACGTAATTGCTGGCCTGGCCTGTAATGTTGGCCCCAGAGGTGTGTGGGTTTGAAGAGGGCTTATCCAGAGTCCGGGACACACTGTCTTCTTTTCTCAGGAGCTGGTAAGAGGGGCTCAGGGACATCAGAGATGAGAACTAGGCACATGTATGCAAGAAGCAGCATTAGGACAGGAGAGACAGAGAGAAGGACAGACAGATGGACACAGAGAGACAGAGAGATTGACTTTTCTAGTTGTGTGAGTGGGTCAGTTACTTAACTCCTCTTTGCCTCAGTTTCATGTCAGGTGGAGGAAATAATGATAATGATAATCATCATCGTCATCACCTTGTGAGGTTGGGTGATTTAAGCAAGATATGCATGTAAAGTACTCAGAACTATGCTTTGCACCTAGTAAATATTCATCCTCGTACCTAGATGGTATCTGACATGTTGTGCCACTGGGTAAATATCTTTTGAATGAAAGAATGACTAAATGTTAGCCCTTATGCAAAGGTTAGGCATTATTTTTGCATGTGTCAGCTGATACTCTGTGGATGTACATCAGCACTGTGAGTGAAGAACGTTACAACTTCTACATACTTCTCAGAAGATGTATGCAACGGTAGTTAAATCGATATTTAACTAACAGTTAAAGCTGCCAGCACTGTCTCAGGTCCTCTGCAGTGCTCCTTAATGTTTGTTACAGATACATTTTGTCTCTTATCTTCCTTGTTGTCTGTCAGCTGTTGGAGGGCAGAATCTGCAATAATGCTCTGCATGAAGTAGGTGGTTGGTAAATACTTGATGCCAATTTTTTTTAAGCAAGGTAGGAAAATTCACCTGAGTTTTATTAGGAACATTGCCTAGAACACACACATTGGAGAGATTTTATATGTAGAGCTGCCCCATGGCCGCAGGGAGATAGGTATTGCAGTTTTCCCATCACCCGTTGCGTCTGACTGTGATTGGGCACACCCTGCCGTGGTCTCTTGACCCTAGGCATTGACCCCGATGTCCTAGAGATCTCAAAGGAGTATGGGACAGGGCCTCCGCCTCCAAGGACCACAGTCAGGCTGAGGAGACTGGCCAGAAGCAGAAGTTAAAGTAGGAGGCTGGTTGGGCTGTGTACCCAGAGATGGCCCAGATAGCAAGTTCTCCGGCCTTCGGAAGAGGGGGAAGGGGCCTGGAAGCTGAGCACGAGGAGGTTTTGAGAAGTGGGTGGGCAGCAGCCCCACCTTTGCAGAGAGCACACGAGTTACTTCTGCTGGATTGGCCAGGTGAAGTTTGTCTCAGACACCTACAATATGCTACAGCTGCCTCTCCGTTTTTGCTGTGGAGAGCCTAGAATTGGAATCCTGATTCTGTTCTGTCAGTTGCGTGATAATCCGGTCGTAAGGCCACTTCCTGTTGACAGACCTACGTGGCACTTCTCTGGCAGCCTCGGTTTCCTGCTATAAAACGGGGGTCGCGGCAGTACCTTCTTTGTAGGGCTGTTGTGAGGGTTGAATGAGGTGGCACATAGCACCTTTATTAGGTGGGCTGGACTTAGAGGGAACTCAGGAAACGGCTTTATTCTTTGCTTGAAGGTGATGTGGGTGTTCCACTCTGCCTCAGGCAGACTGCCTAGATTTCTAGTGGTTTCCTGCAGACTGCCAGCATTAAAAAGCCAAGTTCACATCAAAGCCAGTTTACGGCTTCTCCCATGACCAAGCTTGGGAGCCTTGGAGACCAGCAGGGCAGAAGGGTTCTCGTCCTTTTGCGTCTTTGCTCCACCTCTTTGCCTCCTCCCACCCCTTCTGGCCCCTCCCGCATCAAGGATATAGGGTTGGGAGATGGGAGAAGAGGCAGAATCTTTCACTGAGCTAGTGCGTTTGGCTCTCTTGGCTGCTGTGTTTTCTTCCATGGCCAGTTTTTTTGTAGGGGCATATCAGTGGTCCTTTAGAGGTGTCTCCCACCCCTGCTTGTCCCCTCAGTGGACCTCCTAAAGGGCCTTTTCCCTGATGCCCTGTTGCGGTGACCTCTGTAACCCCCCACTCCGGCTCCTGTCCGAATCTCTTCAGCTGGCCGCCCTCCTAGCATCTCTGCGGCGTCCTCCCTGGAGGAGCCTGACTGCCTTCTGAGCTGGGGAAGTTTACACGTCCTCATCCTGCCACAGTTGTCCCTGCTCTTCCTATACTAGCAGCTCTGGCCAGCCTCTTTTCGTGTTTCCAGTGAGGGGTGAGCTCCTGGGGGCTCCCTCTGCTCTTTTCCAGAAACAGCCCTGGGTGGGCTCACGAGCCCAGTGGCTCTGCAGCGGTTGAAGCCATTTCCTTCTCTTGCAAGTACCCTGGTCTCTACCAGGGCTCCTCTCGGGTTCCCTAGGGGGAGGGAGGGATGGAGCTGCTGCAGAGTTTTCCTTATTTCCTTCAGAGGATTTCCCCCAACCCAGTGCATTTCTTGCCTGCTCTCAAATGGACTGTCGTGGACAGACCAGCTTGGCCATCAGCTTGGAGCAAGTTCTGTGAGGAAGGAAAGCGGAATGTTTATCATGCCTTAGTTTTGAGTCCAGGGAGGGCCCCATCCTGTTTCTGCGTCAGGGTCATCCGTTGGGCAGTGCCCGGTACCCAATACACCAGTGCATGTTGGCCGTTAGCCCTGTTTTGCTTCCGTGGGCTTCCATTTTCTTACCTGAAAATTGGGGCTAATGGTCATCCCTGCTCTGCCTTCCACTGAGCGCTGCTCGTGTGATGAACGTATTGTGAGTTGGTTTTATTTTTCTTTTTTAGCCTCAACAGAACGGGATCTCCCCACGCATGTTTAAGGCCTTTGTGAGCAAGAGCCACCCGGAATTCTCCTCCAACAGACAGCAAGATGCCCAGGAATTTTTCTTGCACTTGGTGAATCTAGTAGAGGTGAGTCAGTTATCAGAAATGCCTGAAGGGTTTGTGAGAGGCGTGCCCAGCCCCTGCGTGCGGTCCACACTGGCGTGGCCGAGATGCCCCCTGCCCCCAGCTCAGTCTCCCCCAGACCGGCTCCTCCACAGCCTGCTTCTTGGAGGCTCTGTCTGCTCAGCACACCTGATGCGATCGCTCCTCGTGCCTGGCCTCCGGGGCACTTGTGGGCTCCTGTTCTCCTAATTCGCCTGTGTTGTAGGAGTGTTATCCATTATTTCATTCGCTGTTTGTGTTTTTTTGTCTCTGTGACAAGCTCCTTGAGAGTCCTGTGTGGCATTTGGTGTCCTGGCATCACTCCGAGATGGTCACCCTTGGCTCAGAGCAGAGGCGAGTCACATTCAAGGCTGTGGTTTTTAAAGGCCACTGAGAATTCATGGTTAAAGGCTTTTTTCCCCTCTTAATAAACAACTTTTTTTTTCCCTGATGACAAATATGTTCCTTGTGGAAACAGAGAGGCACAAAGTAGAAACTCAAGATTTCTCATGCTCTCAGCCCCACAAACAAGCAGTGCTAACATTTTAGTGTGAGCCCCTCTCCCTCACCCTCAGTCCTTTCCAGGTGCAATTGATTCTCTCCATGCTGGTTTGTAAGCAGAGTTTTTCACTTAACCTGTTGTGAACAAGTCATTACATACTTGAATACAACGTGATTTCTTTTTTGTTTGTGTATAATTTACATTAGTGCATCTATGTATTCATATCATACTTGGTTTAATTTTTCCAGGACAGTCCTTGATTTCCTTCCCCTTTTTCTTAAGTTGGGCTCCTTCATCTCCTAATTCTATCTAGGTCAGTCCCTCTGCCATGACTTTTAATGCCTGCATAAGATTAATTCACATGATGAACTATGATTTTTAACCGATCCCCCATTTTTGGACTTTTTAGATAAATACCAATATTTTGCTTTTTCAAGTACTCTGGAGAACTGGCAGGCCCAGGAATGTTTGGTAACCCCAGCTCTTTACACCTGATTCATATTTGATTTTCTGCTAATTTTTATTCCTGGCTTAATATTAGTAAATTTACTAACCTGATACAATCTCACCTTCAGAGGAACCGCATTGGCTCAGAAAACCCGAGTGATGTTTTTCGGTTTTTGGTGGAAGAACGTATTCAGTGCTGTCAGACCCGGAAAGTCCGTTACACGGAGAGGGTGGATTACCTGATGCAGTTACCTGTGGCCATGGAGGCAGCAACCAACAAGGGTAACGTTCCGGAGCAGAAAGGAGCAGTGTGCTGCTTCATATGCAAAAACCTTCCGATCAGAGGCAGCGCGGTTGAGCCGCTTGGGAGTAGACCCAGCCCCCAGGGAGCCTGGTTTGCACGTCTCGTGTCTCTCTCTCTCATCTTTTCCTTGGTCCCCACTGACTTTCTTTTGAGAGGAATCAGTTGCATCACAGATTTTTGTGGAGGGGTTATGGGTGGAACCTACTTCAAGGCCTGTGAATTTGACCAGCTGGTTGGTTTGGAGTCAGCTTAATTAGGAAACTATTTGTGATTATATATGTGGAAAAATTCTTTAACATTATCACTCATAAGTTGTGCTGTAGAGTCTGAGGGAAATGATCAGAACTGCATTTTTTCTGCTGTGGGGCATTGAAGCAGAGGCCTCTTAACATAGTCCAGCTTTGACATCTGAGTCAGATGCCTGTTGTGGGACATAGAGTCAGGGCTGTTAGTGGGGTGAGGCCCCTTAGAAGGGTCTCTGGACCCTGGAAGCAAGAAGGCAGATACCATAGCCAGGTGGGGGGGGCCTCAGGGGAAAGTTCCTTCCATCAGTCAGATCTGGTTCTTCCTGGGCAGAACAGTAATTTCTTAGAATTCACATCTTAGAAACAGAGAAGGGCTGAATATCTGCCAGATTGCTTATCTCTTGTGAACTGGTCATTTCTGTAAAGTTCAAAGACTCCCTGGGTGTCCTTTTTCCTCTTTTTTTTGGCGGGGGCCATCATTTTATTGTGTTCATTGGAAAGTGATGATTTTAAGGTGGAATGATTCCCCTTTTCTCTAGGTTCATGCAGCTTTTGACTAGTGTTTTAATTCTCATTTATCATACAAAGTGGAATAAATGCGCCACCGAGGGCGGGGGTCTGTAGTGTGTTTCCTTTTTAGAAGAGGGCTTACTTGCGTTCTGTCGCCTACCTCAGGGACTCTGCCTTACGTGTGCTGCTCAGTGCTGGCGTCCTCTCTAACTCACTGTTTATAATCTATGACGGTAACTTCTTTCTTTCCAGAAAGAAGATTTATAATGTAGTCTCAGGAAATGGATTGCTGGGGACACCTACTGCTAGCATCCTAGGTAGAAGGGCATCATGAAGTGACTGTGGCCTGGGGACTGAACTTCAGAAGCATGTTCAGATGTGTGTAGGAAGACGCGGGGTACAGTAGTGTGCCTGAAAGCTGATAAGTCAGGAGTGTTGTCGTTGTTGTTTTGGTAACAAAAGGAATTCCAGAAAGGTCCATTTGAAATCTGTACAAAATTTTGACTTACGGGTAGTTTCCAGGAGCAAGTCTGCTGACTCTTGGGAAGTTTACGGTGTGCTCACTTCCTTCCCCTTGGTATTTAATCTTTTAAATATGGTGTAGAAAGGCCTTGCAGGTTGGCCGCTGTGCTCTCTGCAGTGCCGGGACCCCCAGCATGGAGTTGGCTTGGTGGCGTTGGTTAGGGTCATGGGCGTTTGCCTTGGATAACTGCTGTCCTTGTAGCTCGTCCTGCTCCTTGGCCCACATCCTTCAAGACCTCTAACCATAGTGAGGGGCCCGGAAAAGGAAAGCTCGGGTCTATTCTCTGGTGTGAAGACGTTGTGATTGGAGGGGGTGTTGGAGTCCACACACTTGACCTCTGGACAAACAAAGGACCAGATGCATGCATCACTTACATCACACGCATGGTCCGAGCCTCTCACCTGGGCTGAGTTCGCAGTCCCCCCTCTCAGTCTCAAAGGGGTCAGAAAAACACAAATAGCGTGACGCAGCCTGTCACTGCCACTGTAAGCAGGCCTTCAGCAGGCTTCTCTGGTTCCGTTTCTGTGGAGGGCAGTGAGTAAGCAGCCCTGCCCCGGCCCAGAAGCCTTCGGGGGAGACTGTTCTTTGTTCAGGGAGGTCTTTCTCATTTCAAGAAGAGATTGCAGAGTCATTCGTTTGCTCTTTTACTCAGATGAACTAATTGCCTACGAGCTAACGAGAAGGGAGGCAGAAGCAAACAGAAGACCCCTTCCTGAGCTGGTTCGTGCCAAGATACCGTTCAGCGCCTGCCTTCAGGCCTTTTCTGAGCCAGAAAACGTTGATGATTTCTGGAGCAGTGCCCTGCAAGCAAAGTCTGCGGGTGTGAAGTAAGTGTGTGTGTGTGTGAGCATGTACACGCTTGTGTGGTGGAGACAGGGACGGGGGAGGGGAGGGTTGGCGGGTGTTGTGTGAGTCTGTGCGTGCTTGCCCCTGTGTAGCAGGTGGGACTAGGTTTACACGCCATAGCTGTCACAGCCTCTCTTGTGTGAGACCAACACAGTAAGACAGGCTTGTAATCTCTATTATGTGCAAGGGCTTTTTTTTTTTCTTTTTAAAGAAAGCAAGTTTGTAGTTTATCTTCTGTAGGGAATTTGTTTTTCCGTCTTTCTTTTATTTGCCGAGAATCCTTTCTTCCTGTGGCAAGAATGATATTAATGAAGAAATTATAAAAATACTTAGGACAGTCTTCAGTGTTTAAACTCCACTGTGATAGATTTTAATTCCACAACTAAAGATTTGGCTTAAGGTGGTGACTGTGTTGCTACCCGGAGACCGGGGGTCTCAGTGCATCACAGGGTGGACATCACGGCTCCTGAGCGTTCTTCCAACAAGCAGCTGCTCAGGACATGGTCAGGAGGTACTCTGTTTCCACAGCATGAGCCTTGTATCAGGTGCAAACTTCTTTTCCTCCACTTGACACCTTGATTGACTTGATACAGTTAAGTCCTTGCCAGCACCCTTCATATAGTTGGAAAAAGAGTACTTACAGTGGCATAAGAAGAGGGGAGGGCTGAAGGTTAGGCTCTGGAACTCTCACCACTTTTAGATACTTCTCAGCCATTTTATTCCAGGCTAACAGGGCCCTGGCTGATGTGAAGGGAGGAGGATGGACAAGCTACTGCTGGTTTTTTAATCACGACCTCACTAGCAGTCAAACCTCAATCCCATACTCTCTGTGACAGCATCCCCCAGGATTCCTCTGTTTCAGATAATCAACTTCATGTGTTAAACATGGAAAACCAAAAAGAATTTATTTCAAAAGCTATGAAAAAGCCATATTTTCTTAAAATAATTTCTTCCCCCAAGTTTCTTTATGTCCAGATGAGATTAATGATAATTCAGTTGTCAGTTATCCGTTGTGGGTTAAGTTTTCACCCTAGGACTGCTCAGCTTTGGGGGGGGTTGTCCTTGCAGATCACAGTTGGTGAGTTCAGGCTAAGTGTTTGAGATTCACTTCATTACAACATGGACCCATCTTTGGGCAGTTAAAAACCTACACATAATATTAGTAGTGGAAACAATTTATTTTTTTCTCTTAGCTTTATTGAGATATGATTGACATACAATGTTGAGTAAGTTTAAGGTGTACAAGTTGATTTTATTTATTTATTTTTCACTTATCAACAGTGGGCTGAAGAGTGCTCAAACATTAATCCTTCTCTTTGCCCTTTCATTCTGATTTCTGTATGGAAGGTGGAAGCAATCTGAGGCCTGGCAGCCTCAAAAGCCCCCAGCATCAGGTGTGCGTTGCAGAGTGGTCATCTTTGGCCTGGCCGCTTGGTCGCCGTTCTCTGCTCTTCAGGAAAGTGGCCCCATGTCTTAGGAGTGCAGGGTGTGACCTGCTCTCTGGGCCTGCGGGAAGGAGCCGCTCTTCACTAGGAAAAGGCCCATTTTTGCGGTGGAGCTGGGAGGCATCCACCTTCCCCAGAGATGGGATTTCTGACCTTTGGCTAGTGGTCAGGAGACCTGGATTCTTCATCTGTCCACTTCCCAGCTTGTGTTCTATCCAGGGGCAAAGTCGCCGCCCAGTGTCCTTTCATCTGACGGGAGGAATGACGCCCACTGACCTGATTTTCTCCTCAAATGCTACAGAATATTTAGTTGCAGGCAGTGCTCATATAATCATCTAGAATCCTTGAGGAGGGCTTTCTGCTGTCTCTAATCCTTCACAGTGGATTTAAACATGTTTTTTCTCTTTCTCTTTTACATATAAATGTGCTCTTATGGTTTTATGTATAGGAAAGAGAATTAATGCTAGGTGTATCACAGTTGTTAATAATTGAAAACTGGCCTTTGTGGGAAAGGAGAAAACAGTGTTTTAGGATCAGAAAGCAACTACCATTTATGGCACATTTTTGTTCCAGGTTATGTGCTGAGTGCTTCCCATCAGCTGTCACTGAATCCTCCTAGTACTGTGGTGGGGCGGGACCATTACATATTCTCCCAATTTTACAGAGGGGTGAGTAAAAGGAGAAGTCATTGGCCGCTAAGTGGCAGACTTGGAATCATTCATGTTCGAAGTTTGAACTCTTAATCCTTGTTAGGTGTACAGTGCCCCTCACTCCTTACCATCCTTGCTTATGCTTTTATCTTCATAATCCTTACATAGCCTTGTTTATTCCTTATTATGTCTTATGTTTCAAGTATTAGTTTTGGGGAAGCCAGTTCGGTGGATTCCTATCAGATCTTTTTTCTTTCTTTTGTCCAGCAATCTAGCCCTGATCACCTTATGATGTTAATTTGGGGCCTTGAGTTTTTCTTGTGTGAGACCGAAGCCTGAAAGGCCAGGGGGAGGCAAAAGATGTCCTCTTGGTAGATCTTGGGTCAGAATGGACCAGACATAAAGACTCTTCCCCTCATCAGCCCTGAACGACAGCGCCTCGGACGGATGCTGGCGTTCGGAAATTCCATTCAGCAAGCGGCTATGACTGCTCACCTGGTGTATTCTAGGCAGTGAGTTGAAAAGATCTAGTCCGTCCCCTCAAGCAGCTCACAGATTAAGGATCAACAGGGAGAAATTTTGTCTTGACCTTATCATTTATGAAGAGAAAAGCAGGGTATGGGGTACCAGAGCCCAAGCTTTAGGTGGACTGGCAGTGTTTGAATTCTCAGTGTAGAATTTACTAGTAGGTGACCTCGGCCAAGTGACTTCACCTCCATAAGCCCGTTTCCTCTTATGTAAACTGAGGATACTGATAAACTGAGGATAAAAATAGTACTTTCTCTATAAGGTTGGGGTGAGGGCTAAGGCGAGATAAGCTGTACAGTGCCGTGCACAGTGCCTGGCAGGTTAGGTATGTACTGTAATTGTTACTACATTATATCTACCTTTTTTTTGGCCATGGATTGTACAATTTGGCTGTGGTTGATTAATTATATTTTCAAAATATTTCATGGAAAGGATAGAATTGTATTTTTTCAGTTGCCAGGTTTTCAATAAAATAGATAGTCTTAATTTCCAGGAGAGAGGGACAGTTATATATATTTTTCTTAATAAGGCTTTCATAGTGTTTTTGCCTGAATTGTAATTACTGAACAATTGATGTATTTTAAATAATGGTAATAGGTTGTCAATAGACAATGCATTAGTGTTGTCAGGCAGGGTTCTAAGCACTTAATGTCTTAATTCATTTCCCATAACAGTTCTTGAAATTGCTCTGTGTCTATCTGGATCTTTTTGAATGATTTATATTCTAATGGTCTTTATTAAATACATAACTTTTTAAGAAAAATTTTAATTCCAGGAATTAATTTTAGGAATAAAAGAGTAAGTGGTACATAATTTATAACTTTGCTGGATTTAACTAACAAACTTAATGTCCCAAACCTGCAATTAATGAATGTCAGGTATTAAGTTAGAGAGTGATTTGAACAAATTTATATCGAGCAGTTGCTACATGTGTGATTCAACTTGAGATCCTATATAGTTTACAAAGATGAATTAAAGAATATTTACCCAACAGGGCAAATATAATGTGGGCATCGTCTAACCTGCGAATCTACTCTTAGGTTGGTAGTTACCCATAATAAAGTGATGTGTTAAATTACCCCCACCCCAGCCTTGAGTTCCCTCCGCTGCCCCCTACTCCCTGGTATTGCCAGCTGTTTCTTCACCCAGGTTCTGACCACATAACAACTGCAATCATCTGGGGGTTCCTGAACCAGATTTTGGAAATCACAGATTTACTAATGACTTTTGCTTGATTTCACTGTTATATTTTCCAGATTTTAAATTAACGTGGTAAGAGGAAGAGGTTAGGGAGGTGACATTTTTTATAGTAGTTGAAAATATCAGATGGAGTTTGTTAATTTTGGTGAAATTGAGGACTCTACTACATTTAAGAATGATGTTTATTACTGCTTCTCAAAAGATAGGAAAACCTAATTAGAGATAATATGTAATTTCTGGAGCGTGAGCCAGGCTCATAACAGATCAGTCCCTTAGGATAGTTAATTCCTTGTTTATTTTTGTTTTGTTTTCTGTTGCTTTTTTAAGAACTCCATTAAGTGATTGCCTGCACCCTTCTGCCCTCCTTGTGATGGAGAACTTGAGATACAGAGAGGTTAAGTCACTTGCCTGAGGCAAAATACAGATCAGTGACAGACCAAGTCAGTGACCAAGGCCTCACAGATTCTGGCTCTTTCATGACGATAATCATGCACCTCCTAGTGTTCTGGGCAGTTTCATATCATTTCACGAACATTGTGCAGCCCTGCAGGTAGATGTTATTAATACATCCATTTTGTAAATGTGAAAATGGAGCCTCAAGGAGGGTCAGATTTGGAGTGAATTAAGTAGCATCCAAGTGTTTTGATACCTTGTGGATAGTCCCTCAGCCCCTGTGCAGTGGCTTCTCGTCTACACTAGGGGGCAGTAATGTATTTGCATTTGTTTTCTGAACTCTGGGACGATGAGCTCCGAATGGAAGGCAAAGACTAGATTTTGAAAAGTGGACTTTGTAGGGAGCATGTTCTGAGATCTTTTATTTTAAAAGACACCTATAGTATCTGTCTACAGCTAATTTTCTTTTTTCCGTATACCTGCTACACCCACTCAAATAGAAATGGTTGTTATAAGCAAGATAGTAAATGTGGAGAGAATGAGCTGGAACCAGGCATGAATTTGGTGTATAAATTGAATAGTTTGTGCATGAAATTGTCAAACTCAAGTTCAAGCAATTCAGCATTCCTGAAAGTTTGAATGAAGGGAAACTCAAGACATTGACCATATGTATTAATTTTTAAATTTAAGGCCCAGATTTAGATATTTTAGGTTCCCCATTATATATATACATATAAAATACACACACACACACACATACACCTTTAGGAACCTTGTGACCATGGATTTTAGCTACAGTAGTTTTTAGTGAGGCCCTAGAATTTACAGCAGTCAACCTCAACCAAAGTTCCAATAAATCCTCCTGATGCCAACTCTTTATCACAAGATAGACTCTTGGTGGAATTGGGGGAAGTGTCAGGATTTCTTGGGGAGCTTTTTCAGACCTCATACACAGACGTATAAAGCACACGTGCCCACACACACCTACCTGTGTGTATACTAAATCCCAGCAAGGGTTTAGAAGAAAACATGTTTCTGGTGAAGACAACTTTCCAGAAATATAAAATGCCACAGCAAAGTAAAAGTAATAATTTTGCAACATGCCCAAAATCATTCTCCAGGGGCAGTGTTCTCTGTTAAACATTTTCTTCTTGTGAAGAGGCCAGGATGAACGGTGAAGGAGTGTGTGTGTGTCCGCTCGTGTCTGCTTGCGTGTTGCTCCTCTTCAGTGCCGTCTGGGGAACTGCTGGGTATGCCTCAGACAAAGCTTTTGATGCTTCATGAACTGTATTCATAATTCTTACTGCCTTGTTTCATTGATCTAATCCCCTTGTGTTTCCCAGAACATCCCGCTTTGCCTCATTCCCTGAATACTTGGTAGTGCAGATAAAGAAGTTCACTTTTGGTCTTGACTGGGTTCCCAAAAAATTTGGTAGGTATCTTTTGCATGCTTTTGCTTAAAACATCAAATTAGCCGTTTGAAAAACATGGCATGTGAAAGAGCCCCTGGTGTTGGCTGTCAGAAAGTTTCATTACATTGCTTTTCCATGATTCCCACCTTTCTCTTTTGAAAGATAAAAATATATGATAAGCACTGACAGTAAATAAAAAAAAAATTGCCACATGCTAACCCATCCCTCTAATAATAGGTTCTGTAAAGACTAGATTCTAGGTTCTGGAAAGACTGGATTCTAAGAGTGAACACAGGACCTTCACATTGTCAAATAAATGATGCTTCCCAAACTTTCACATGATCTTGGTGAAATGCTGATTCAGCAGGTCTGGGTGGGGCTTAGGATTCTTCATTCTAACAAGCTCCCAGGTGATGCTGATCCGCTAGTGTGGCTGCTCCAAAAACACAGATACACTCAGCATCGCTCCTCTGCCTCTGAAGCGGGCAGGTGTGGCTAATGGCATTTGCTTAAATCATACACATTTTAATAATAATGTGAGTAGTCAGTTGTATTAAAAAGTCAGGGAAGGGATGTGACTGGCTTAATTGGGCTTTCTTCTTGCTAATCATAAAAGCCCTTGACTAGACAATGTATAAGAACATTTTCTTCATTTCAGTCTAATGTCAAGGTGTTGTTAGGCTGTCCTCAGTGCTGTGGAAGGATGTCCAGCTTTACCCTCTGGTTTCTCAAGCAAGTACCTCAGACCATTTGCCAGTCTTTTAAAGTTTTTATGTTTTTGAGCACTTAAAAAAAAAAACAAGTCTTATGCTGGTTAATTAAGCGCTCATCTGCTCATCTGGAGGGGATAGGTAGAAAGAATGTAAAATTAGCAGGAGTGTTTTCCCAGAGACCTCCGGCACTTACAGTTTACATAGAGCCCGTTTCCACGTGGCATCAAGCAGCCAGGGACTGAGTCTGCAGCATCTTTTGTTTTTCCTGGTGGAGTAATTTTTGGGCAGGGAGGAGGGCAGAGGGCAGACTGTTCATCACTCAGCCTTTACTCGTGGACCTGAGAAGTTCCTGAGAGAGAAAACTGACTTCTAAAGGCTGTGAACTGCCTTGAAAACAGTTTTCTTATTTTCTTTTGTCCTTGGAATTTCTGTAAAGGCTAAATTCAGATCAGATCTTATAGGCTTGCTGAATTTAAAGCAGCCCCAAAGCTTTCTTTAATGAACCTGAATTTTTCTATTGAGGAACAATTGTATTGATTTTGTGGGTCAGGCATTATGTTTGATTTTGCTGTCCCCTGAGATTAAAAAAAAACTTTTTAAACTAAGCTTTTTCCGTGGCTGGTTGTTTTAGGATTTATGTACCTGGCATCATAACTGTTTTGGAGGATAGTGTTTTCAGGTTCGGTTTGCTAGCCCAGGAGACATACCCTGCACCAGCGTTTCAACCCATTTTCCATTATTACCCTATCTGAATTTGTGCAGGACTCAATCTCAACAGGCTGTTAGACTGATACATTTTTTATTTGAGTTAGTCAACGTAATGACAGCTGACCTGAGAATGTTTAAAAAAAAAAAAGTCCCTTAAGACGAATACACTTGAGATTCAATTAATTTCTTTAAAGCTTCATCCTTTATTTATTACCTTAGGTCGAAAAATTACAATACCAGTCATGATCTGAGAAAAGGCATAAACTAGGGGTTGCAGACTCAAATGCCTAACCAGGGTGATAATGTGAATGAAAGAAGCAGGCTGGGTCTGAGAAACATACAGCTGTAAGCTGCCTTGGTCTTTCTTGGGTATTCCTGTTTTGGATAAAGTCATGGATTAGGAAAACTGTTCTCTACCATAAGAATCAGAATCACATAAATATGATGTTCTGGATCATGGGGGCAATAGGGAGTGGTGGGGTCTGTAGCAGACCAGCACAGGGGGCACATGTTGCCTAGAAGCTGAAGACCAGCCCCAGGCAGTTGTCACCATATGAGAATATGCTACAGCTTTTTGTTTTTCAAAATAAGCTGGAAATCTAGATGTTCAAATTAAATTTTCTGATTTAAAAATTGGAATTTGTTGCCAACATTCAAAAAACATCAAAGTGGGCGACCTCTGGCTTACCTCATTTGTTCTTGTGCAGTGTGAAATCCTGCCACCCTCTGTATTTCCCCTGATTCTGCATTAAAATCTGACTAGTCTCAGTTGATTCTTCTGGTCCAGTGCTTTACTCAGGGAACTATATACCATCCCTTGGCTCTGCCTAGACACGTGTGCATTGAGTTAGCAGTGCTGGTTTTAGGAGGTGATTGTGTGTGTGTGGAGAGTCCAGTGAATATTATCTTTCTCATTTTGCAGATGTTTCAATTGACATGCCAGACCTACTTGATATCAACCACCTCCGAGCCAGGGGGTTGCAGCCAGGAGAGGAGGAACTTCCGGACATCAGCCCCCCCATAGTTATTCCTGATGACTCCAAAGGTACCGTCTTCTGCCAGCAGGACCTTCTCGACCCGTCCCCCGCTCCTCTTCTGGAATAGTCCTTTTCCACCACTCAGCTGTCCCTTGGTACCTTCCTGTGCTGTAACCCACCGTAGACACACAGACGTGAAGCCTGGCTGCACCTGTAAACTTAAAATAGACATGAGAAGTGGCACGGACCCATCGTGAGCAGTCGAAATGGACCTGCCACAGAAGGCAGCAAACCTCCAAAAAGGCTTTTCGGTTTTGTTGCCTCTGGTCTTGCCTCCCTCCCTCCTCTTCCCCTTAACGCACCTGTGGGGAAGAGGAGGCCTGTGTTTTCAGTGGGCTCTTAGGCTAGGGGTCTGTGTCATTCCTTTGGACACCTAAAGGGCAAATTCAACCATATTATATGCATTGGTTTTAAAAATCTTGTCTGCATCTCACCACCCCAGCTTCGTCACTGCTTCACAGCAAGACAGCAGTTTGAGTTTCTCATTCACTCTGTGAATGCTTAAGTAGTCATTGTTCAGAGTCCTTAACTTTTTAAGGGAAAAGGACATGCAAAAAATAATTGCCTTTGTGAGTCCAAGAACAGCGTGGAGAAATCTTGGTTTCATGAGTAGCTCAGGCATTCTGATGAAATCACTTTCATTCTGGGTTCGCTTGCTCACCTGTTTACTGTTCACCTTCCTAATGAGTTAATTAGGTAAATCAGCTAATAGTGCACTAAACAGAGCACCCTGGGCCCCTCTGCCATGGGGTTTCCCATCAGCTGAGCCACGAATATTATGGGTGATCACGTTCAGGTGCAAAGGAAGGGTAAGGGGAATCCAGGAGGAGCAAGAGAGGATCCAGACGGTCACATTGTTCTCTAATGTCCAGTCAGGTGCTAGTTACAGAGGATGGCCAGTAGGGGAGGAGCTGTAGGTGGGACAGTCTGGGTTAGTGGTACAGATGGTTCATTAAAGGGGTTCAAGGAAGAAGAGATCAATCTGTGTGACTGAGAAATACGAGATGGTTTGCTAGCATTTCTCCTGCTTTCTCTGATGCCGATAACAGAATCCTTGGCTTGTAGTTATATAGAGCTCTTAGAAGTACAGGGAGAGAAATTATCTGGTTCATTAAGATGATAAGCAGAGCGTCATGTTTTTATCTGCTCTGAATGCCCCAAACCTGGTGTTTTCCTCTCTTTACTGGAATGGCTTTATCCTGCAGGCTGGCGGGGGCTGCGTGGGGAGTGGAGGGGCTGACAACTGTGTGGGATCTCAAGGGGTGGGGGGTTGGTAAGTGCTCTGGATTAACTCTTTCTCTAGAATTCTCTGCCATGGTTTGGTCTCACTTCCTGCCCTCTCCTTTAATTTCCAGATCGCCTGATGAACCAACTGATAGACCGTATGTATCTTTTACATTTTTTTCTCAGTGTCCTACAGTTGTTACTGGCCTGACACGCTTGTCTGTGGGGGTTCAGTAAAGGGGTGGTGTTCTCTGCATGTGGATGTGCAGCTTTTCCTGGGTGGGGACCGTTCTTGGTCTTCAGGTTGAGGTAGCTGCCAATCTAAACCAGTGACGTGGTGATGAGGCGGCTCTGTGGCTCAGGAGAGCAGCCGTTAGCGAGAGTGCCAGCCAGCCCTGGGATGGAATCTTGGCTCTGCCATTTGTGACTGTGTGACCTAGAATAACTGACTTAACTTCTCTGAGCCTCAGTTTCCGTGTGTGTGAAAGGGGGATAATGATGCCTTTTCTTCCCCCTCTGGCCGCGCGAGTGGGCCTCTCTCTGCAGTGGTGGTGCAGTGGCCTGTCACTTTCTCCACTCCTGCTTCTGGACACGTAATGAAGACACACGACTGCCAGGACATGGTAGTGTTAGTTAATACTCTTAAGGTTACTAGTTTCATTGGATTGCTTTTTAGTTTTGTAGCCTTTTAGTTCCTTAATCCTGTGGGAGTTGATGCTCTTGGTTTTCTAAAAAGAACATTTGAAAAATCAACTATTTATAGTGAATAACTTATGTATTTAGGAGGAAGAGGGAGTCTAAATCTTGTTGTCTATAAAGCCGTTCTGGAGACACCATTGTTAATTTAGAAGTTCAGGCGTTTTACATTGCAAGCACTTTACTTGATTGATCAGGTGGCTTCGACCTTCATATATCCTTTCTTGGGTCAATTATGATTTGCTGACTGCTGAGAGAAGCTGTTAGGGTCAGTGTGGGTCATGGGCAAACCACTGCCTGTGAATAATCTGATTGTACTAATAACAGTGGCTGTTACTATTTTCGAATGGTTACAGTGAGTCATGTTGTATTTATTACTCCATAGATTCTTTCAACTGTATATAACCTTACTATTAATACAAAGCCCAGATTCTCGCTTGATTATCATGGTAAGAAGGGCAGAGCAGGTGACCTTTTACAGAGGTTAAAACTGAGACCCAGGGAAGTTCAGAGACCCAGAGCTGGGACCAGAGCCAGGGCTCGGAGATTAGTGTGCGTTTCATGTCACTCGACCTTTCCTGGAATGTGAGATGTTTGCTGGCTGGCCCTGATGCTGCAGAACGCTGGCCTCCAAAATCTTGCCCCAGGGAGGTGATGGATGGTTGAACCTGCCCGTATCAGAGGACCCTGTCTGACCTCAGCGCTCAGCCATTTTCCAGCGTTAACTGGTTTGGCCACTCATTTCCTCCTGATCTAAGCCTGCTGTCTTACCAGCAATTACTCATATTCCAGAATTAGTGGAGAAAACAGAATTAGTGGAGGTTAATTTACATTTACATCAGATTTTTAAAAGGAGTAACTTTGATTGTTTTCTTACTACAGAAGTAGAAACATATTTGGGAATTATGAATTAGCAATGAGTCACCTCTGGTTTTAGCGCCCATCTGTGACCACTGTTAGCAATGGGTACCTGTCCTTCTACTGTTCTTTACCTGTGCCTGGTTCGTTTACACAGAAATGGAATTAGACTTTTCAATTTAATAAGCTGTTATATACATACATAGATAGCCTTATTAAGCTTCACTACTTTAACTGCATTCTAGAGAAAAGAGTCTTACAAAGAGTTTCGTAGTTTCTTTCCTGCAGGACTTTGGAATTTCACTTTGTTAACTTACATTGTAAATTTCTAAGTGGAGAATAGAGAATGTATGTTTAAAAAACTTATTTGACCAAGGAAACCCCCTGTTTTGTGATTCAGTAATTGCATCTCTCTTAGAACACTAGGATACTCTGAGACACAATTTGGGAATCACTGTCTGACATTATTGCTTTCCTAAAAGTTTATCTTGGTAGGATGTTCTGTGTATCTTCTTCATGAAAGAGAACTTTGGTAACACATTTTCAATATAATTTTTGTAGGGCAGGTTACTCTATTCCTGAGTTGTACTGACTGTTGTCTTTGGCTGAGGTTTTGGTAGATGAGAGACCTCAGGACATGGACACATAAGGGATATATTTTGTGCTCCTGTTCCCAAGCCACCTTTGGTGTAATTTGAGAGCACGTGTAGGTGTGTCTGTGTACACACACAAATACAAGTGCATGTATGCATATCCACAGAAGCATGTATGTTTATATACATACAAGTCTGTGTGTGTATATACACACACGTGGATATACACATCTCTGCCAATATCTACATATTATGAAAAGAAGACCTTCTGTGTCTAAGCTAAGGTTAAATTTGTAAAGCAATCTTTTTAATATCTTAAATGTATACAATTGAAAAATGCATTCTTTCCTTCTGTCTTAGCATTAAGCTGTTTACTTCCTTTGATTGTAATATGCCTGAAGGACCGCTACAACTTCCTGTGAGATTTAGGGAACAGGCTCTTTGGCATGTAGGTAATGTTTTCCTATTCAAATTTCAGTCGGGGAGAGGCTGCTGTGGAGGTCTTGAGAATGATCTGAGAGGCTGAAATGGTTCTGGGAACACGCTAGGTCTAGGTCTCATAGGAAATTAGAGAATCGTTTGTCAGTACTTGGATTGTTCAGGTAATTGCCATGGTTCCTACTTAGGCCAAAGATGAAAACTCAGCTCAAATAGCTTACTGTTTGGATGGCTTAAAACTAAACACAGTTAAGCCGTCATCTGCACATTAAACGAAAACAGCTTTGTCTTTGGGTAGCATGTGGGCAAGGGGGCCGAGAGAAGCTAAGACAGAAGAAATAGGGTTTACTCTCTTATACCAGCATGTCCTGTTGTGCTCTGTAGCATCAGACATCGATGAGTCATCAGTGATGCAGCTGGCCGAGATGGGCTTCCCTCTAGAAGCGTGCCGGAAGGCTGTGTACTTTACTGGAAATATGGGAGCTGAGGTGGCCTTCAACTGGATCATTGTTCACATGGAAGAGCCAGGTAGGTGGTCAGAAAATGGAATGACTTTGGCGTCTGAAACCATCTTCAGTGATGCTAGGCCTTGGTCCTTCCCTGTCCTCTGAATGTCCTCTAAAAAATGACTTTCCAGCTCACAATCTGCTGTGTTGGGGGAAGAAAGATTTTTTTGCCTGTGTAGCAAAGTCATAATTTTTGTCTTTTATCTTTTTTAAAATAATAGCTTAATTGGGATATAATTCACCCTTTTAAAATGTATAATGTGGTAGCAAAAAGACCATTGAAAGATGTGGGCATACTATATTTTATTTATCTTTTCATCAATTGATGGACATTTGGGTTTTTCCACTCTTTTGCTATTATGAATAATGCTGCTATAAGCTTTTTGTGCACAAATTTTTGTATGGACATAATGGTTTTCATTTCTCTTGAGTAGAATTGCTGTGTTGTATAATAATTCCATGTTTATGAGGACCTGCCAAACTGTTTTCAGCCGTGTTTGTATCATTTTGCATTCCCACTAGCAGTGTACGAGGGTTCCATTTTCTGCACATCCTCACCAAGCCTTATTGTTTTTATTATTCACATTCCAGTGGATGAGAAGTGGTATCTCATTGTGGTTTTGATTTGCATTTCCCTGATGGCTAATGATGAACATCTTTTCATATGCTTATTGGCCATTTATGTATGTTTGGAGAAATGTCTATTCAATCTTTTGCCCATTTTTAAAATGAGGTTATTTGTCTTTGTTAAGTTCTAAGAGTTCTGGATACAAGTACCTTAACAGATACATGATTTGCAAATATTTTCTCCTGTTGTCTGGGTTGTCTTTTCACTTTCTTGATGGTGTCCTTTGAAGCACAAGTTTTTAATTATGTTGAAATTCCGTTTATTCCTTTGTCACTTGTGCTTGTGGTGTTGTATCCAAGAAACCGTTGTGTAACCCAAGGTCATGAAGATTTTCTCTTATGCTTTCTTCTAAGGGTTTTGTAGTTTTAGCTCTTACATTTAGATCAGTGGTCTGTTTGGAGTTAATTCTTGTATATGGTGTGAGGTAGGGGTCCAGATTCATTCTTTCACGTGTGGGTGTGTGGTTGTCCCAGACCGTTTATTGGAAAGACTGTCCTTTCCCCATTGAGTGTTCTTGGTACCTCTTGTCGAAAATCAGTTGATGTGGGTTTCTAGCTGAACTCTCAGTTCTATTTGATTGGTCTGTTGATCTGTATGTTTATCCTTATGCCAGTACCAGGCAGTCTTGATTATCATAACTTTAGGTACTTTTTCTTCTTAGCTCTAAAGTGTTGTTTATTTCAAGACCCAGAACAGAAAAGGGTCTGAGTGTGTTGCTTTCCCCAGATTTTGCTGAACCACTTGATTATCATAACTTTAGGTACTTTTTCTTCTTAGCTCTAAAGTGTTGTTTATTTCAAGACCCAGAACAGAAAAGGGTCTGAGTGTGTTGCTTTCCCCAGATTTTGCTGAACCACTGACCATGCCTGGTTATGGAGGAGCAGCTTCTGCTGGAGCCTCTGTTTTTGGTGCTACTGGACTGGATAACCAGCCTCCGGAGGAAATTATAGCTATTATTACCTCCATGGGATTCCATCGAAATCAGGCTATTCAGGCACTACGAGCAACGGTAAGCATGAGAGACTGTGTGGGAACACCTTCCTTTTATTGGAGGTGGTTTGTGTTTCTGTCAGTAGCAGCTGAAACTTTCTAATGTCCTTTGATTGTTTAAAATCATGTCTGTCTCACGCTTACCCCACCATGCCCCACAGGGATTTATTTGCTAAAATAAATGATTGAGGGAACCGTACAGAGATTTTAAGAATAGGAGATTAAAAAAAAGGAGGGGGGAGATAATACAGCAAGAGCAAGATGACCAAAGTGCAAGAAACTGTATCATCTTAATGTTTATTAGCAGGAGGTCAGAGATTTGACTTGGAGATTGCTTGTGGTCTTAGAGCTAAGAAGAATGCTTGAGATTCTGTGTTCAATAAGGCAGTTTTTTAGGAGAAATCGTGTTTTTCTGACACCAAGACCTTGGAGCAAGGTCTCTGAACAATCCTCATAGAGAAGGCTTCTTGGAATTCTCTGCTTCTGTTTCTGTCTGCAAAGAGGGAAGATTCTTCAGGTATTCATGAACACCCTGATGGTATCAAGAGAGAAGGGACCATGAGACTGGAGGGCAGATAGAAGTCTTCCTCTTGTAGTGCAGATAACTGTTAAATATCAAGGGAAAATACTTATTTTTTACACCATAATCCATTTTTGAGTGGATATCTGCTCCCGATTCCTTCTTGCCTGTCCTGGCTGGGTGCTGGCTGGGGTCCCTTGCTGAGATCACAGCAGCTCCCACCTGGCTCATGGCAATGTGGCTGGACCGTCTGTTTCCCTTTAAAATGTTTGAAATGTCTCAGCCAGATTCAGTTGCACTCAGGGTACTTGCTTATGCCCCACTTATTTTACTTGCTTGATTGTTTAATTGGAGAATCTATGTCTAAATGATAAGTCAAATGGGGGAAGATGGAAATGTTTTCATGGTCTGTTGATTTGAACTACATGGAGTTCAGTTTAAAACAATTTCACTTAGCTAACCAGTGTGATCATCACTAATCAAGGCATTAATCTTATCTCTACTGCTGTTTGACCATTTATCCAGCACTGACGGAGAGGAGGCCCTGACACAGGGCCCGTGTTGGCCCCTCTCTACCCTGCAGGGTTATCTGTGGCAAATACAGTTGGTAGAGAATATAGTGTGTGCTTTGGAAGGGGCTGCACTTGAACAAATGCCATTCTCTTTGGCTTTCTGCCTCCATCAACATCAGCGTCAGCCTGCAGAACTGCTGAGCTCAGACTGAAACGGGCTCTGGAATGCCGAGCTGCTTTCTGCTGAATCCAGCTACAGACCTGGGTGGGGAGACTTGCACAGTGTCAGCTGACAGTGCGTTTCACGTGCAGGGTCAGGGCTGCTTACTCAGATGCCCTTAGGACTAATGAATTCAGGCCTAGTTTAAACGGTTAGGAGAGAATGAGGCCCAGGGACTGCGGACATTGTAACAGTGCTTTTGTTTTATCAGAACAGTAACCTGGAAAGAGCACTGGATTGGATCTTCAGCCACCCTGAGTTTGAGGAGGACAGTGACTTTGTGATCGAGATGGAGAATAATACCAATGCGAACATTATTTCTGAGGCCAAGCCTGAAGGACCTAGAGTCAAGGATGGATCTGGAAGTAAGTTCTCATCTTAGGGATTGTGGGAGCAGCTGTGAGTATGCATTTGGCTCCTGCCCTCCCCTCCCGCTCGTGCGTGTGTGAAAACTTTTGCCATCCTTCAGAAGTTGGCACAGGTCCCGTCTCATACGTGGTGTATTTGGCCACTTTGCAGAGGCCAGGGTGATCTCAGAGAGTCTGGGACAGACTCACTGTCATGCCACCTGGTAGTGTGTGCGCCTCAGCTTAGCGCTGGCTCTTTGTCTAGCCTGGAGGTGGAATTTTATCCTTGACCGTGGATGTTTTTGTCCAAAGGACAGCATTGATTTTCATGGTGATACATTTGAAGAGTTGAAAAGCACCCTTGACCCTGCTGTTGCCCAGACCTACTCCCGGTCACTTTCTGAAGGCTGCTGGGGTGGCAGGAAGAGGTGCCTTCTCACAGCAGACACTTGGGTATGTCACTCTGTGCCGGGCGCTGCGCTAGGCACTTGTCATATAAATGCTTACTTAGTCCCCACCACACCCCTTCTGCAGATGAGAAGACAGAGTCACAGAAGGATTAGGTAACCTTGCCCAAGGTCACGTAGCCCTTCAGAGCTGGAGCCAAGAGTCAGACTCAGAACCCATGTTCCTCACCACTGTGATGCCCTGCTTTTCGGGCTGGCCCTGCCTGCAGGGTACTGGCCCCGCACCTCCTCGGTCAGATCCCCGCCTGCTCGTCTCGGTGTTGCTTCTCCTGTGCCCCCGGTGCCCGCAGCTCAGAGGCCTGGTCCTGTAGCCACGTCCTCCACGCTGTCTTCCCTACCTCCAGGCCTTTGGTCAGGATCCTCCTTCGTTGGGACTCACCTGTCTTTCCTGTCACTGCGCACTGAAGTCCTCACCGTTACTCAGAACTTGGCCGCAGATTCCATTTCTCTGGACGGCTTCCCCAGGCCCTTGTCCTCGGTCCCTTTGTATTGCACATGCTGGGCGCGGTTACACCAGGGCCAACAGCACCGCCATGTGTGTCACGTTTCAGCGTCACAGCAACCTGTTCTTACCTCCATTCTCCAGATGGAGAAACTGAGGTAGAGAAAGTGAAGTAACTTGCCGAGGCCACACTGCTAGTGCTGAGTGGAACCCGAGTTCCAGCCCAGGCAGTCCGCCTCCAGAGCCTGTGCCTGGAGCCACTGTAACGTAGTGTGTTCTGTTATCAGAGGTGTCACATTCCTCGTGCAATAAAATGAGTTACGTAGATACCTGTGTCTCCCAGGCGACTGGGAGCTTGTGGAGGACACAAACCATGTGACTTTTATTAAGCTCATGGTATCTAGCACATAGTAATTACCAAGTTAATAATAATTGGATTTAATTAAATTTACTATTACAGCATTTGTTCCTATAGTCATTTAGCTGCAGCTCTGCTCATTAGTGGTCTAGCCAGACCTAACAGGGGTGTGTTGATCTAACTGTGGAGACAGAGAGCAGAAAGGAAACTTACTTCATTTATAATGAGATAGGAATTTCTCCACTGAAACTCTTTTCGATCCTGAGTAGGTAAGAAAAGAATGAGGTGTAGTTCTCCCGACTTCCATATTCATCTAACGGGTCTTGTATTTTTGGAAATCACTGGCTCACCTAAAGTATTAAACGCTGTAATGGACAAGTTACTGAATAATTCATGGTTTTATATTACATGTCCATCGGTTCTCTGCTTCTTTGATTTTCTGTAATGGACTTTTCCTTAGGGGTGGTGAGTTCCTGCAGAAGGATCAACCACAAGATGGGGCTATTGTAAAGCTGCCAAGATATTTGGCTGCAGAGGGAGGGAGAGTCTGATCACGAGGGTTTCCTGTCTTCTGATGGAGCTTGCAGGGGCCAGCTGCCCTCTGAGATGGTCATTAATGACATGGGCCAGCCAGATCATCTCCCTAGGCTCACTGAACTCCGTCACCTGCAGATGTCCCTGGCTTTTGAGTTGCAGCGTAGAGAAGGATGTCATGATGATGTGTTCAAACACTCTTAAATTTAAATGCACTCTGGGCCAAACTCTATGGCTTTACTCCTTGTTGCTTCCAAATTTAGAGCACTTGTGGGCGAGGGTGGGGAAGGAGAAAGCACTATGAGAAATCACACAGGATATGCAGAATCTATGGGCAGTAGGAGGTGAAAATTTTAATTATGCAAAAAGCATAAACCACCCTAACTCACCCAGTGCATTTTGCATCTGATTTTCTGGAAGAACAGATATTTTTAAAGTAGCCTTTCCAGCGCTGTGCCTGGCCCATGGGAGGTGAACAGCAAGAGAATGGCTGAATGAAGAATTAAATGAATGCTAGGTGGTGGTGGGCACGGGGACAGTGCTTTCAGTGCCTCCACTAAGTGCCGTCTGGAGGAACTGGCAGTGCACTGCTGTGCTGTATTGCGTAAGTCACAGGAAAGGGAAGAGGTGATTTCTTGTACTTTGCTGCATTAGCACCTGAACCCATATGTCAGTCACGTTTCTTTTTCCTTTTACAAAAATTAACATTTATGTTATTTTTCTTATAATTAAAAGGATATGTGATAATTTTAGCAACTTGAGAAAATACAGACATACGAAAGAGGAAGATAAAGATCCCTCACAATCGTACTACCCAGTCATAACCACTGTTACATGTTTGGTGTATATTCTTTAGATCTTTCTTTGCAATATATAAAAGTGAATATAAATATATGTATATTTATAAAAATATGACATTCTGTTCTATACTTGCTATTTTTAAAAAGTGAAGTATAGTTGATTTGTAATAGTTTCAGGTGTACAACATAGTGATTCAGTAGTTTTATAGGTTATGCTCCATTTATAATTACTGCAAAGTAAGGGCTGTATTTCCCTGTGCTGTACAGTGTGTCCTGGGTGCTTGTCTGCTTTATATTATACCTGCTACTTTATAGCCTGCTCTTTCCCTCACTGAGGGTGTACATTTTGCAAATCTAGGTCATTGAGCATATATGAATGATGTTTCATTGTACCATAATACGTACATATCTAATTTTAGGCCAACTAGTAATTATTTAAATAAAAGACAATTTCGGAAAGTTTTAAATAGTAGGGTTATTTGCATATTCAGAAGGTGATGGCCACAGTTTTTAAATAATACATTTCTTAAAAGGATGAATTCAGTGCACAGAAGTACAACCAGTGCCTCTTTCCGTCCTTATGCAGGTAGTAAATACTTGTTCAGCACTTAAGTTGGTTTCACTTCTTCCCTCCTCCCCTCCCTTCTCTACCAAAAATGATGCTGTAATGAACATTCTTGGGCTGTCACTTATTATTTCTTTAGGGTAAGTTTCTGGAAGTGAAGCTTTGGAGTCAGAACTGCGTAGTGCTGAGGTTTTAATACAGATGCCCCCATTAGCCCCCGGAAACACAGCACCACCGTGTGCTCCTGTCCCGTCCCTCCCGGCAGTGCGTCCCATGGGCTGCGCACCCTGCGTGGTTTTCATATCTTTATTGCCTAGTTGTTTTTCTTGTGTTAATCGCTTCCTCATTGCCTTTGGCCCATTTCCCCATTTTTATTGAGGTTTTTAGATTTTTAAAAAAAATTGATTTGCATGAGAGTTTCAGATATTGTATATTAATTTGGGAATACCTCATATCTTTACAATATTGAGTTTTTCTGGCCAGAAACGTAACCCTTTTCCTTTTTTTCATTTCCCCCTTCTCCTGCCCCTGCAAAGCTATATGGCTTTCTTTATATATGTCCATGCATTTCTGGTTTAGTTACTTCTCAGAATTAATTTTCTGTGTTACTTATGAGTAATATTTTTTTCCCATTATATTTTCTAAATTGTTCCTACTGAGTTTTGAAAAGTTCCTGACCTTGTAATTGGCCATTCAGCGGGTATTTGATTAGAATTACACTAACGTCGTAGGTTCTACCCTGGGAGAGGGAAATGTGTGTTCTGTGTAGGTGGGTTGTTTACATTCCCAAGCTACTGCCTTTTACCTTTGTTTTGATCGATGAATTGGTTGGGACATTTGACCTGGAGATAATGAAGACATTTTAAAGGTTTAAGCACTTGCTATCTAGGAGCAAAATGGAGAGCCAAAACAGACAGGGAGACAAACCAAGTAAAGCCAACAAGCTCAGTTTTCAGGGTTCTTTTGTAAGTAGCTGAATTGCTGAGCCAAACTTATCTAAGCAAAAAGGGATGTCTTGTCTTGTAAAAGACAGGACTTTCCTGGAAAGTCCCAGGAAGACTTGCCTTCGGGAATCCCCTTGACTTTGGGACTCGAACCCTTTTATCTGGGTATGTCTCTTGGCTCTGCTTCCTTGGGGTTGGTTCCAGTCTCAGCCAGGATCTCCGTCACGGCCACAAGGTGGCTGCCAGTGCCTCCTACTGCTGTATCTTTCCAGGTTAAAATCCAGCAGAAGGAGTCTTGTCGCACAGTTCTCAGCAGGGGTTCTGGGCATATGAGTGTCTGTCATGCACCCTCCCTGTCATGTGTGAGCTGAGAGGAGAAGGGTTGAGCCTCTCAAAGCACTGGATTGAGTGTGGTCCTAGACCAGCAGAATCTGCATCACCTGAGAACTTGTTGGAAATGCACATTCTTGGGCCTCACCCACACCTTCTGAATTAGGACCTCTGGGGGCGGGCTTAGCAATCTGCGGTTTCATAGGCCCTCCAGGTGGTTCTAATTCAGCTTAAATTGAGAACCACCACCTTAACAGCAAAGTTAGGTTACTCTTTAAGAAAGAGGCTAGTGGCCACTGGAACATCACTGTACCAGGTTAATGCTGAAAATAATGACAAGGTAGGTGTTTGAATTGGAAAAAAAGTGACTATTACAAGGACAGGGATTAAAGAAGCACTTGTATTAAACTCTTCCTTTAGGAAATACGTTAATTAAAAATGACTATTGCCATCTTTTTGAATGAGGAAGTAGTGTCATTGCATCAGATTTTTATTTAAATGTTACCTACTTTGATTAAAAGGGTCAGTGCTGTTAGCACTTGGTGAAGTCACAGCTGTCCTTTATGGAGTGTCCACTA